CGGACATAGGGAACGTGAGGTAGTTGAGGTGGGCAGTCAGGGAAGGCCCTCGAGGTTCCTCGCTGGGGTCTCAGCGCTCTGCCCGCCCCCCGTCTGTTCCCTACTCGCCCGGGTTTGGTTCTCGCCGGGGTCGCCTCCTGACCTCCGCGCGCGGCCCATCGCCCATCACCGCTGCTCCTCCCGCGGCGGTTCTGGGACTGCCAGCCAGTGGCTTGCATCAGAGCCCGAGGCGGACCTAGGTCGCGATCGCGCACGCAGCAGAGGTGATGGGGCGGCCCTCACGGTGACCCAGGGCGGTGTCGCCAGCAGGCGCGTGACTCCGCCCCGCCCTCCCCCGGCTAGCGCCCGGGTCGCGCGCCTAGTCTCCAGTCCTCGGGCCTCTCTGCGTCCGGGCGCCAAGCGAGCCCATGGAGCCCGCGGAGCCGGTGGAGCCGGTGGAGCCGGTGGAGCCAGCGCGGGGAGGCGCCGGCGGGGCCGATGCGATGCTGCGCGAGCTGGAGGCGCTGGTCCAGGACGTGGTGACTGCGAGCTCTTGGTGGGAGCGCCACGGGGTGGACTGCGCCATCCTGGCGCTCAGCCTCCTTGCCTTGCCGGCAGGTGAGGGTCAAGGGGACAGGGCGACAAGGGCCGGATTGCGGGCTCTGCTACAGCACCAGGGGGCCAAGGAAGCAGAGCGAGTTGGCAGTCTGAGACGCCAGAACAGAGGATTACACCCCAATCCTCAAAGTTTGTTTTGGGATGTCCTGCCCTCTGTCCCCCTGTCTCCTCCAGGAGCAGGGCACTGCAGGACAAAGTCTGATGCATAAAGTATGGTGGAAGGGAAAATTGAGATGGGTCAGAGAGTGGTGGGGAGTGGCAATGAGGTCTCTGGGGAAGGAGGGGACCAGGAATGGGGTAGGCAGTGAGGGAGGAGGAGTCTCCCAGGGGCCTCTTCATGTCTGGAACCCTGATACTTGGGCCCCCATCACTGCTCTGGTGGGGGCCCAGAAGGGAAACCTAGGCAGAATGGAAACCACTGGGGCTCCTTAGCAAGCCAGTGCGGGGCTCTGATTTGTCCCAGACCCTGTAAAGAGAACCAGTTTACCCACTGCAGGCCATGGTGGGACCTGTCTCATGCCGTCCCCAGAACTGGGTCCCCTTTGGTCTGGGCTCCCAGGATGGGGGCTGAGGTGTTTGGGCCCAGATCTCTGAGAGCTGGGAGAAAGACTCAGACCCCACTTCCCTTCCCCACATAGGGTTCCTGTGTCTGCGCTCTGAGAATGTACTGGTCTTTGCCATTGGCGTCACCATCTCGGGTGTGTGCCACTATACGCTCACTGTCAAGGGTAGCCACCTGGCCACTCATGGTGCCCTCACAGAGTCCAAACGCTGGAGTAAGATCTGGCTGCTTTTCTTCGTGGAGGTGAGCCTGGGAGAGGGCATGGGCATCTGCTGTCACCTGCTGGCTCTGTGTGGGTGGAGTCATTTTTCTCTACAGGCTTGCAAGTGTGTCCAGCTTTGTGTGCTCACTTGGGCAGGCAGCTGCAGCTGTTGCTATGTGGGTCCAAGTGTGCAGCATGCACTACTGGGTGTGTGTCTGTGTGTGCACTTCTCCAAGGCCCTAAAAAGGCAATTGCACCAGTCAATAGAAAGCCCAGTGAGGAGCATCCGAGTGTCTACCTATGGCAGTGGACTTGGCCTGGGCACACCCACTTGCTTCTGCAACACTAGGCCAAGTGCTGACTAGAGCTTCTTCCTCCCACCAGGATACCTGTGGCTGGCAGGTCCTGATGTGTGACAGTCTTGGCCCATAACTGTAGCCACTGAGGCCTCCAAATTTTGCAATCAGGGTTTAAA